ATCATAGTTGTGACTGATATTGAGTTGATTAAGGTCTGCAATAACATGGTCAGTTGCTCCTGAATCCATGTACCAAGCAGGGTCTTGTAATGTGGTTGGTGTGACAGTTATGGAGGCTCTATTGTTGGCAGATCCAGGGAATGGTTGATTAGCAACCAAATAAGCTTGATTGGAGCCATTTGGTTGTTGTCTAGGAACTTTAAATCCTGGTGCAAGGTTGTTACCATTCAATGGAGCAAGTAGTGCTAAGGAACAAAATTATTACCTGATGGTAAAATAGTTGGTATAGCAGCATAATGTTGTTGTTGCTGCTAGTGACCATTGCTAAAGTCATGCGGTTGATTAACTCCATAAGAAGAACTGTAATGATGAGGAGCTAAGTATTGAACTTGCTAAGGATGAGACCCTGACTGAGTGAATATAGCAGAGGGAGTAAAAGAAGTATTGGTTTGCTGAAATTGATTAGTAGAGTTGTGTAGCTTAAACTGATTAGCAAAACTATTTGGCTGGACATTTGGACCTCCAAAAGAGGGAGGAATGCAATTGTATGTTGAGTTGTAATGATGATAACACTGTACTGCAATGTGTCCAACCTTGTTGCATACTTGACATATTGGTTTTCCTTTATTATTTTTTCCTCTACCTCTACCTCTTTCAAAAGAGTTAAATACAGGTGAGTAATTAGGTGAAAAAAGAGCTCTATACTGACCAATATGAGCTAAGTAATGATACTTATTAGTATGTACCGAATATGAATTAGTAATTCCTGTATGAGGTACTAGATTTTGTGAGGGATAGTGTTACTGTAAGAGTGGGCTGTTTAAAGAGGTAGTTCTAGAGGGATAAGTGTGTGGTATATTGAGTGGAGATGGTGAATTGGGTGGAGGTGCTGAATTATATGAGGCATTAGGTAAACTCAATTGTTGTCCTGGATTACTGACAGAAGCAACATGAACTTAAATGTTTTTAAAGTCTACCAAATTAAATTTTTCAATCCTCATCTCATATTTTTGAAGAAGGTATTGTGCTTCTTGTAGAGTAACTAAATCAAATTTGGACACGATCCTAGATGTCAAATTAACAACTACAACGTTAAATTCTGCATCGAGACCATCAAGAATGAGTTGAAGTAAATCATCATTAGAAATTAACTAACCACTTGCTGACAAATTTTCAACTTTTCTTTCATCTTCTTAATGTATTCACTAACATTTAAATTTCCTTTTTGAGTATTTTGCAATAAACTTTTCAAATGAAGAGCTCTTGCCTTCGAATCATTCCGAAACTCACTTTCAAGGGTTAACCAAATAACAGTTGAAGATTGACATTTCGACACATTTTCAAACATGCATTCTGAAATGAAAGCTAGTAGCTAGGTAATTAGGAACTTATCATATCATTTCCATGCAACATAATCTGGATTTATTATTTCTTTAATTGAACAATCCTTTGAACTAACTTCTCCTTATTCAGTAACTACGTTGTTTTCAAAATTGATTAAAGAAGCAGAGCAAGGAATCGGACCTATTAGATAGTCTTCCAACTCATGAGCTCCAACAGCTAAAAGAACTTGAGATTTCCAAAAACTGTAGTTATCTCTATAACTGTCTCGAGTCAATTTGGGAGTAATGACTTGCAAACTTCACAGGAAAGCTGAGGCGAAATTGTTGCAGGAGCTATGGAGCATTTTCTCCATATTATTGTTGGATTGATTTAATCCAGAGATTTAGCCATTGACGTGAGTCTAGGGCTTTGATACCATGTGAAAAACAAAGAGAATTCAAAGAATTTGAGAGAGAAAGGAAGTAATTCAGTTATTGAATTTTTTGGTTAAAAAATACGAGAAGAAGAATCCTTTGCTTTATATAGTAGCAGAGGTAGTAAAGGTAAAGTAGTTCAGCTACTCAGCTCAAGCAGATAACATAACTGAAAACAGCAACATTGAACTTCTTAATCAAAATGACATCATTTTGAGTTTCTTGAGCTCAATTGCAAAGAAGTCAACAATCTTTTATTCTTGACACTCTGATCCACAATTGTAGGGTCGAAGATAAAGAAAACAACTACTGGCAAAAATCCTTAACTCATCAAGGTAAGTTCCTCATGAAGTAGTGTGTAATAAGGAGACACAAAATCAAGGACTGAAGTAAGTAATTTGTTAAGCAAGTAATGGTTGTTCTAAAGGCATTTCAGCATGTGCCAAAAGGGACAAGCCGGACAAGCCATAATATGTAATACACCAATGCTTTCTCTCTACTCTCTCATTCTGTTGATGTAAGTATGGACAAGGGTGCCTAAACATAATGCCATTTTGTTGTAAGTAACTAGAAAAAGTCCTAAACCCTCCCCCCCAATTTGTTTGTAAGCACTTTAATTTCTTATTCAGCTATTTTTCCACAAAGGAATGAAACTAAATAAAGGCAGCATAAGCTTCAGATTTCAGCTTTAAAGGGTTTATCCAAGTAAACCTACTAAAGTCATCTACAAAGATAATATAATATCTATAACACTGACTAGATAGAACAGGTTCTGAACTCCACAAATCAAAATGGACCAGTTCTAAAGGAGCCTATCCTCTAGAAGTGGAAACAAGAAAGTGAGATTGTTGTAGTTTCCCATATTAGTAGGCTTCACAAAAAAAAGTTTTATTTTTTCTTAAAGAATGCTTTACATTCAACTTGTCTAATACAGCATGAAGTGATTTCATGTTGTATTAGACAATCAAAATATATATATATATATAACTAATATTTATTCGAGCTTTATCAAGCTCGTGAGCCTCAGAGCTCGAAAGCTTGATGGAGCTCACGAATTGTTTGATGTTCGCAAGCCTCATTTAGTCATAGGTGAAAAAATCCCACCATAATCAACACCCTCAATTTGTAAGAATCCCTTTGCAACGAGCCGAGCCTTATATTTTGTAATTGTTCCATCTGCCTGCAACTTTCTTTTGAACACCCATTTGCATCCAATTGTCTTTCGATCCTTAGGCAATTGACATAGGACCCATGTATTATTTTTGCTCAATGACTGCATCTCCTCATTCATCGCAAGCTCCCACAAATTTGCATCTTCCATGGCTCTTGCTTTACATTCGTAGGTTCATCACCAGTCACATTCAAAGCATGCATTCCACTCTAGATTTGCAGCGGGACTCCTAAATGCATCTGCCTCACCCGTTATTGTTGAAGTGGTCAACAACTCCAACAAATAGAATTATCTGAGTTATACTTAATTCTGAAAACACTTTTGCAGCTAACTATATGCATGGAATCATTTGGAGGAACTAAAGTCCAAGTTTTATTCTTGATCAATGCTTCATATTCAGATTGCATTACTTGAAAGCACTTGGAATTTGACAGAGCTTCTTGAATTGTGGTAGGTTCAGTAGGTCGCAAAGATGTTGATTGCGATACAAGGTTTGAGGATTCAGTAGAAGATGATGGTGAAAGGACAGACACAATAGCGGCATAGGTTTTAAGTGGAATAGCTCATGTTTTGGTTCTAGTTTGCATGCGGTGAATATTAATAGAGGAAGAAAAAGGAGAGTGAGAATTAAGTTGTTTAAATTGTGTAAGATCAATGAACCATTGAACAGAAGAAGACTGATGAGACTGGCATTGTGGTAAATTTAAGAAAATGGCTTTAGTAGGAGAATGATAATATTGTGAATTAGAAGTGGAATCTGTGTAGAGAACCAGATGATGTTGGAATTGAGGTAAGTGAAGAAGAAGAGCGTTTCAAATTAGATTTAAGAACATGTTCAATTAAATCTTGTAAAGGTTCAATAGAACAAGAAGAAGAACGGTTTACATGAGTAGAAGACAGATCAAGACTATTAGCAGGAAAAAAAGATGAAAAAAGGGAGTTCAGATTCATTAAATATTACACTCTAGGTAATATAAGTTTTGCCTGAGGGGCTAAGACATAGGTAACCCTTATGCTGTAAACTATATTCTAGAAAAAGACACTTTTATGAATGAAACCAGCTTGTGCTTAATGTATGGCCTTAAAAAGGGAAAACAAGCACAATCAAATATCCTCAAGGTTTCTAAAGGGAACTTTCTTTTGAACATTACCTCAAATGGAGAAAAGTAATCAAGAAGTTTAGCAAGTAACCTATTTATGAGATAGGCCGCTGTTGAAAAGCATGCCACCAATAAGAAAGTGGCATAGCAGCCTGTGCAAAAAGAATTATTCCTACTTCAACTATGTTTCTATGCTTTTTCTCTACTGCTGCATTCTGTTGATGTATCTATGGACATAGATATATTATAAAAATTCCCTAATGCTCAAGATAGGAAATAAGACTTGAATAGTCTTTGCCATGATCATTCTGCAATACCTTGATATTACTAGGAAACTGTGTTTTAAGAAGTTGATGAAATTTCTCAAAAATAGTCTTAACTTCTTATAAGAAAATATCCATGTTATTAATATAAATAATAATAAAAGAACATAAATGTTCTTGATAAATTAATTTTTATTAATATCTCAATTTTAATTAATTAAAGTACATAATAATTATGTAATTGATTAATTTATGTGGATAATTACTTGTTCAACTAGTCCAGTCTCTAGGGAAAACGATTATTTAAGACAACTAGATAACATCAATTAGAGTTTAGAATGTAAAAACCAAATCAGAATTTTTACTTGATTAATATGATTTTAATTAGAAAAATATAAATTGAAATTCATTTGTAATTAATATATTCTTAAAAAAATGCATAAAGAACTTGAAAAGAATATAAACTATTATCAGCAATCGATATTCTAACTATTAAAAGTTGTTCTACAAAAGTAGTTTCAAATATAAAATCAACGAAATTAATATTGATTATTCTTTGAATTTAAAAACTTTTTTTATGTTTCGACACACTAAAAGTAAATCTTGACCCCATCCTTAGTTTTCAATTTTGATATGCTATTATTAATCAGATATATAAAACAAATTTAGGTCACCTTTCTTAGAAAAGAATAGGTTAATGCTGCTGAAAGTGTATCGGTCATGTTATATCCTTGCCAACTTTTGGCATAAGAGAATCCAGTGCCAACGGGTGCATCTAAAAATATTATGTTGGCAACCTGAATATATACAATAAGATCGATGATAAAAAGAGTTTTATTTGTCAATTTAATAAAAATATATATAGGTAGAAGCGAATTAATTAATCATCCACCTTTGTCCACGAATATGGATTCAACACAAATATTGGTAAGTCCTCCACGGAATTTTTGTAGTCAAAGGACAATGGACCTACAATGAAGAATTTTAAAATAAGTAAAGCCAAATTTCCAATTCCAATAAGGAAATCGCTTTCCAATATGTTTAAAGAGTCAACTACATAATAAATGAAGTTTAAAACGTATTTTGACGACTATAAGAAAAATTAAATACCAATTTCATAGACAAGGCCAGAAAAGCCAGAACAACCAGGGCCTCCGGTGAGCCAAAGCAAAATAGGGTCATCTTCAAGACTCCTTTCGGATTCAATGAAGTAATAGAATAACTGCTCGTTATCCAAATCGCCCACTCCAATATAACTTTCAATTCAAAACACGAGTAAGTTCTTTGCATATTCATCATATCAGATTAATAATGGAAAATATAAAGAAATTATAACTCACCCAGTTTCGAGTTTAAATGGAAGATTACCAGGAAAGCCTGGCAGTGTTTTAATGATTGAGTATGAGTCTGAAGCTACCAGGTCAGTGACAACCAGAAGAAGAAGAAGAAGAATTACATGCGATGTCATGTTTATCAGAAAGCTTATAGAATGGGTGAATTAAAGATATTACTTAAATCCCACTCATCTCTTATAATTCTCAATTAATTAAATTAAATTAAAATCAGTCTCATTCATACCAATCTCATTCAATCGTTTTCAATTTGTCACCGGATAAGAACTAGACAAAGAGCCAATTAATTGCGAAAGAGATATAATTTTGACAGTCTCGGGGCGGCGCCCCTCAGTAGATAGCTCTTACCATTCAAAACTACTCACTAGGCTTCGAATGGTAACCTTAGTTACACCTAACTTTCCAATATATAGAAAACCATTTTCCCAATTCAATAATTTGTACCCAGTACTACAACAAAATGGGAACATTATCCTCCCTTCAGTCCATGTCTTAATAATTGCGCTACTGTTAATACGGTATACACTGTACTACTTCACATTTATTACACATTTCATATTTACAATGTGGAACAATAAGATAATTAAACCCAACAATAAATAATCGAAAATAAGAGTGTTCTTCATCTAAATGTATACTTCTTTTATAATAGGCATTAGGATGTAAGATTAAGGAATTCCTCTTCGTGGAACAAATTAGAGTTAGGTAAGGACTCTTGTAATAATAGCCAAAGGGAGATATTCTTCGTAATGCATTTTGATAAAAGTTAAGACATATTATCTTATTAATACCGCATGTTATTCTCTTTTTTTTTTTTAACTTTGTTTTCCTAATTAATGTAGGATTCCACTGTTAAGAATCTACATTATGCTTAAAAAACGTGTAATGTTTATTCATCTATCCATCCACTTTTTTATTAATACGGAAAACAAAAGAAATGGATAATGCTCAAGTCCAAATAATTAATGCTTAAGTAGAACAAATTAATGAGCAAGTGTTATCCTAAAATTTATATTAAAAATTGATATATGATATATAATAATTAACAAGTAATAGATGAATTGATAAGAGATATCTGAGAGGGTCAAAGTGAGGGATTATAGAATATGAGGACTAGATTGATAATTAGAAAAATTAACAAGTAATAGATGAATTGATAAGAGATACCTGAGAGGGTCAAAGTGAGGGATTATAGAATATGAGGACTAGATTGATATTTAGAAAGTAACTTTTCATCAAGTTTGAAGCTCTCTCTTTTGCAACCGTGTAATTTATCTCTTTTATGCCATATATACAAAGATCTCATCTAATGCCTTTAGGCAATCAAGAGGACAAGAGACAAATAAAAAAAAAAGGTATAAATCAATGAATTGAATCATTTTGTAACACTTGTCAACAACGATTAATGGCAAGCCAAATTCGTGAAAGAGAAACAATTTGGGGACCTCGAGAATTTTGTTAACAACGATTGATGGCAGCCTTGGCGCCCTTCAGTAGATGGCTCTACCACTCAAAGCTAGCCATGCAGCTTTGACTTGTAAAAGTAAATTACATCTAACTTTCCAGTGTATATATCGAAAATCATATTCTCAAAGTCATGATCACTTTTAAAAATTGGTAAGAGAATCGAATTAGGATTCTCAATTCCCTAGTTTACTTATTGTAATTGAGTAAAGAATGAGAATCCTATAAATAATCAATTCCATAAAAACCATGGGTACTAAAAGATTCCTTCAAAATTGTTATGCCTAAAAAATCAAGGTTGATGTAAGCCTACATCAGCTAGCTCCAATCAGAGTTCAGGAAAGATTTGCGCCGTCCAGGAGCTGCCACGTCGCCCTAAGATAGAAAGAATACGGTTGTCACCAACTTGGCAGAACCAAGTTTTGTCTATGAGTGAATGGGAGCCACACACTTGTCCAAGCCCCAAGTAACTTGAGGATATATCCTAAGTTATCAGCCAATGGGAGGCAAGAAAGGACTTGCACAGCACACACCCACTTGCAAATTTGTAATTATTACCTTGAATTCCTCTACTATAAATAGAGGACTCTCCCTTTGATTTTTAGGATTCTGATTAAAAAAAAAAAAAAAAAACCCTCATTCTAATTGTAATCTATATTCTAAGAGTAAAGATAACCTACGAGAAAGATACTGACTTGATATTCTGTTTGAATAATTAGTCATTGTAGCTTTGTTCGCTATTCGCTATACGCGACCTCTTATAATCTCTCATATATAAGATAACAGTGGATACATGATTCGCTTAAAGCATCCAAACCACTTTAAAAATCGTCTTTCATTTGTTATTCAATCTTTGCATTAGATCATCTACAATCATTCACGTGTAACTTCTAAGAGCAGCTTAGCAGTTTGTACATGCGAGTCGTTGGTGTCAAAATCAAGCCTCAACAGTTTGGCACTAAAAGGAGGGCCTAATTTAGTATATACTTTTCATCAGGAATCTCTAATCAACCAGTTCTATCCACGAACAAATGGCTCATAGTCTTGAAGCCGAGCGAGCTAGCACCAGATACGAGGAGATCCCCTAGGCACATGATAATGCTTTTCTTGAAATACCTCCAATTTTGCAGAGTACCGTGGCAGATATTCCTTCGAGTTCACAGCTCGACTCAAATTACATGGAGAGGTTCAATAATACTCTCGAAATAGTCAGTCGAAGGCTAGATCGTTTGGATCATACCACCCAATTCTGATAAAGTAGTGTCGCTGTCGAAGACACCTATTGGTTGCGCTAAAGCGTGGAAGCTGGTGAAAGCCCATGTCGCGCGCATTATGGCGCATAAAGATAAGAGGAAGCAAGTGGCCGATAATGGGTCAAAGGGCTAAAAAGGACCAGCAAATACCAGTCATGAAGCAGGTAGAATACTTGTGGCTTTGCAACTTGGTGGTATGTCGCATCATGAGCCGCCTCACGCCACATCGCATGGGCACCCCTACAAGAGTGCAAGGTAAGGAGATTCCCATTATCGTTGGCATGATGGTTCTAATCATCACCGCGAGGGAAATGTACACCATCTGCTAGTCAGTTCTGACCATTGTGGAGGTCGAGATAGCTCCCCTCACCATTCCATGCCTTCACATGGCTCTAGCTAGTGTGTGTAAAGGTATACCGAAGGATCCGACCAAGGTGAGGAAGAGTCTGACTTGCGGACTTTCCTTAACCATAATCGTGATGGTCGAACTCACGTTGCAAAAAGTGGTCTCCAGGTAGCTCCACTTCCTCAGATTGAGGAGTTATAATGAGCTATGGATCAAATTAGAGCTCAGTAGAATGAGTGAAGGCAAGTCGCTGAGGCGTCTCCCTTTTCTCCAGCAGTATTGACTGCTCCTCTCTTGTCAAGATTTAGAATGCCTAACATGCGAGCATTCGACAAGAATTTTGATCCCCAGAATCATCTCTATGAGTTTAACAACCACATGGAGCTTCACTAAATTTCCAACTTGACTAAATGTCGCTGCTTAGCAGCGACTCTAACTGCCTATGCCAAGTGCTGGTTTAGATCACTCCTACTGGGATTTATTAATTTGTGGCCGTTGATGAGTTCGTTATTTTTTATATACTTCCAGGCTAACAGGAAGTTCTCAATGTCGTTGAGCTATCTAAGCAACATACGGCAAGAGAGGAATGAGTTCCTCCAGTCTTATATTGACATGTTCCACAAGGAGCTATATAAGGTGGCTAATACGCATGAACAGTCAATTCGGACTCTTATTATTATGAGAGTTCGCCTACAAACTGACTTGTGGAAGAAGCTACAGTCTGAGGATGATATTTCCCTCACCTATTTTTACAACCTTACTAAGAAGTATCTTAGGATTGAAAATTCAGTGGCCGCCTTGAATTGCCATGACCTTGGTACTTCGACTAGCGCTTCTAGTCGGAGGGAAGAAAACCAAGGGGGAAGGTAGTAGAAAGCCTTATCGCAAATGGGCTAATAATGATCACAGAAAGGGAAAGAAGCAAAAGTTTGAGCCCAAGAAATCTTATGCCCAGGTTCCTCGTCGCGATCGTGACAAGAACCAGTAGACTCTACTTAATGCATCGGTATCAACTATTCTAGATAAATCAGAAAAAGATAATCTGCTCGGAGAGCCAGTGCCCATGAATAATCCCCTTTTAGTAAGGAACAGCAATAAATATTGCCGTTATCATCAAGATAATGGGCACCATACCGATGAATATCGAGCTCTTAAGTAGGCGATTGAGGACCTCATTTAAAAGGGGCACTTTAAGTAGTATATTGATGGTCCAACTCCCCCTCGGGAGAAAGATCAAGGGGACCAAGGGAAGAAGCATCGTGGTCTCAAAGGCTTCCATCTTGTTGAAATGATATTTAGAAGGTCGCACCTTGCGAGGAATTCTCAAAGTGCTCAAGAGAAGTACGCTCGAGAAGCTCGTCATCACCCTATAAGTGTGATAAGCATGACGCCGCGGCCTACAAAGGTGCACAAAAAGGAAGAGATTACCTTATTAGAAAAAGACATGGTACAACTGCATCACCCCCATGAGGATGCACTTGTTATCACGCCTGAAATAGGTCGATGCAAAGTCCACAAGATATTGGTGGATACTGGTAGTGCCATGAATATCCTATTTCAGAGAGTATTCAAGGAAATGCAATTAGATAAGGCAGATCTGAAGCTTGCCTCTATCCCTCTCTACGGTTTTACAAGGGATCGTCTGATTCCAAAGGGAACAATTGCACTTCCTTTCACTTTGGGTGAGACCCACGAAGTAACTGTAATGACCAAGTTTTTGGTAGTAAACTATCTGTCTGCTTTTAATGGCATATTGGGACAACCTCCACTTCAGAACTTCAAAGCTGTCACTACCATCTATCATCTGAAGATAAAATTTCCCACACCGACAAGGTGTAGGGAAGTTAAAGGATCTTAAAGTGAATCTCGCGACTGCTATGTAAGAGCAATATTGATGACATGCAAAGGGAAAGGGAAAGGGAAAGGGAAGCTAATCGGCATTCCCGAGTAGGCTATGGCGATCGGCAAGATCAAACCACAGCCAGGTCTAGTGGAAGACAGTTTAAAGCCTTAGGTTCATAAGGAGTATTCCTATAGTGGGCCTGTTGAGACTCTATCTG